ATATAATATATATCGCAATAAATACGTGATCAATATCAATAGAAAGCAGCAACGATATATAATCACGATATACACATTTATCAATATCAAAAACTACATCAAATAGAATGTTAATAATTTCACTGAACACTGGTTCAGAACTGCACTGCATTCTGGGGGATGTAGGCATAGGAAAGGCTTTAGCCGCTCCACCTCTTACAGCCCAGCTAAGCAAGGTTGCATCAACTCACTCACTCTTTGCTAAGCTAGCAACAACCTGTCGAGCAACATGTGCAGCAGCAGCTTCATGTTTCATCACCTAAATGCTTAAAAAAAAGGAACGACGTGGAGTGAAAGGAGAAAATGAGTGCAACAGCTCAAGAGGAAATTGTGGATAAAAGGGGAAAAGTCACATCACCAGTTTGGCAGTAATAATGGGCCTTTTTTCGCCTGATCCTTATTTCAAATGGGCAAGACAAACAAACAATAAATAAATAAATAAAATAATAAATAATTATAAATATCGACTAATATGAAACGCTTATACGGTGACACATTTTTTCAGCCWTATTGCCCGTCCTTAGTCAGAGGTTTATTGGTAAAAAACTAACTAATGTTAAACTGTTATCTGACCATGTGTGAGAATTCTGGCAGAGAAAACACCGGATGACGTTTCGATAGCAACCTCAGCGTTTGTACCAAACGACCTGTGACTCGGACACTTTGCACATTTATAACTACACAATGGTCTATTTAACTAATGTTTAAAATGAAATGGAAACAGGTTTAATGTTGGTCATGTAGGATTACATCCCTAAATAGACTGGCTGAAGCCATGTTTTCAGTAAGCTACAGATATCCCTTGTTGTGAGCTGACTTCATCGCGGTCACATGTATTTCCAACTCATGCCAACACAATAATATTTTCTTTGACAACAGTGTCACTCAGGGGTACTCACTGACAAAGAAGCAAAACTTGTAATGAATCGAAGAATAGCTCCCTTTATGTCCTTCACATGTTTGGGGAAAACCCCTTATCCTTCCCAGGAACTCCTTCACACGGCTCTGTTAGCTGCACTTTCTCTAACCTCAGGTCACATTCAAGCATGGACTGAATCCTCTGACTGTCAGCCGCTGACATTTAATGTAAACTTTTACTAAAAAAAAACTGTTCATCATGATTTATTTTACCTTGCTACTTCAAATGGAAGGCAGTGTTTCAGGCTTAAGTCTTCACGAAGCCCCAAACTAATTTGAATTAAACTTTATGGGACGTAAACACCTGAATAATATAATATAATATAATATAAAAGTTTCATTTTTT